TATCCCTCTTCCCACCCCATCTAGGAATGGGAGACAGCCAGGATATCAGAACACGAGAAGACCATAATCTTAAATTTACTAATTACTAATTACTAATTACAAAATAATGTAATGCCTAGGCCCTAACCCTAACCCTAACCCTAACCCTAACCTAGCCTAAAATTTGCACTTAGGCAGAGCTGCACTAACAAGGATAAATTACCCGCACTTACTGCTATATATTAATTCAATAACTGATAGTTAACTAGATAGCTCTTTGCACATTCTATTAAACCAAACTCTCCACAAAAATCAAATATATATATAATGATGAATGGCAACAACCCCTAGTGTTCATCTGGCAAAGTATTGAGTCAAATTTCAGTAAAGGGGATTTCTAAAATTTCTGCACTGTCCAGGGTTGCCAGTTTTGGTTGGACGTATTCCTGGAGCTTTCATCACATGACATAATCTTTAATTAAAGATTAATCTTTAATTCCTGGAGACTCCAGGACAATCCTGGAGGGTTGGCAACCCTAGCACTGTCTCCCATTTACAGTTCAGTAGCTTTTTACTGCCCAAAGTGCAGGTCAGATTACTTACCTCTTGCAGAGATACACAACATCAGGCTGTCTGGAGACTGGCCCACTGTAGGGATGGAAATCTGGAGCCTGAGCAGCTGCTGATCTGGAAGGTTGGAGCTGTGAAGTCTCTATGGAGTGAGAACCTGTCCGCTTGTCCCCAGTCAAATGTGAAGACAGTGCAGGGGAATCAGCTGTTATAGAATGTGGCTGGCCATCTTCTCCCTGGCTTGGGCTGCTGTGATCATATCAGGCCCACATGCAAGTCCCTCCCAGTCAGCTTCTGGTGACAATGTAATGCCTAGGGCCTAATTTTCAAGACAACTAATGGATCAAGCCCCAGCTACATCAAAGAACGAATTTCAATATATAAAACACGGTGACAGAGGAGCACCTCTGGCAAAATGCAGATCACAAGGCACAGAATGAAGCCTGTGAGAGCTGGGGACGAAGCATTTTCAGTCTAGGGGATCCAGCTACAGAACAGTCGTCCAGAAGAGTTCAGGCAAATTAGTCTGGCCAGTTTTGGGAAACATTGCAAAAGCTTCCTTTTTAAGAAAGCTTTCCCACTATAAGTGATGCTCACAATACAAACATCCCCCTCTATTCTCATTCCCAACCCCCACCAAAAAAAATTATGTATATATGTAAATGATACCGCAAGCAGAATTTAGATCCCAAGAAGGGGGACGTGCCAGAGACTCCATGAAGTCTGCTAATGTGATGGATGGAAGCAGGTAAGCTAGATAGGTAGTCATCATTAGTTCTTCCAGTGTTACTTCCACTACAATATACAAATACTTATTTTTATGATCCCTTCCTTTGTTCCTATCTTATAGAAATTAATGAAAGAAGTAAAACTCCCATACCTGGTTACAAAACACTTGGCCCAGTTACTATTTTGTAACCAAACACTGTGAATTAAACTAACCTCAGCAGCTTCACTATTTCTCCAGGGAGATGCTGTTGAAGCAGATTGTTTAATCAGCCAGGATGCAGTTGCCAGCCCCCAACTGCCATAGAGTTTTCCAACCACAACATTCCACCACTTCCAACTATCTGAGGTGCTCCAGAGTGGCGACCAGGTGGCCTAATGGATACATTCCACTGTGGTCACTGTTTTCTGTGTTTTGCATTGATCAAACATACAACTACTGTCTACGAATCTATGAACTACTATTCCTCAGGAGCAGCGCCAGGGTTTTTGCCGCCCTACGCGGCAGCGCTCCCCCTCTGAGCATTCGGCAGGGGGTCCTTCCGCTCAGCGTCTTCGGGGCACTTCGGCGGCGGGTCCTGGAGCGAGTGAAGGACCTGCCGCCAAATTTCTGCTGAAGACCTGGAGCGGAAGGACCCCCCGCCGCCGAATTTCTGCCGAGGGCGGCAAAATGCCGCCCCCCAAATCCTGCCGCCCTGACCGCCTAGGGTCACCTAGTGGAAGCGCCAGCCCTGCTATTCCTAATTGTCACAAAACCTTCTTATTCCAACATTCCATACTTTTCCCTTTTTTAAAAGGACCCTCTGAACTATGTTTCAACTATGACAAAACCTTCCAGTTCCAACTTTCTGCATGTGCAGTGCAGAGGAAAAGAAAATCCCTTTGTATATCAACACATTTCTCCTGCAGCAGCTTCTTCTACTCCCCTATTTTGAGCAGATATGTGGCAGTGGTGTGATCTGAAATATTGTATATTTGTGGTTATCAAGCTTTTACACAGTCAGTGTCCAACTGTTGGATTGAATCTGTAAACCCCAGATACTCTTTATAGAGCTCAAGGACAAGCTGTGTTCAAACCGGGTGATGTGTGTAATGTAATGGTGTATACCATCCCCCAGCTTCACGGCTGAACTCATAGGTATAGAGTGGTTTTATTGTGTGCTGAGCTAGAAAAGCTGATCATTTAAGTGGAGAGAGGCCTGTAATTCTGAAGCCCACTCCTCAGGTGTAGATCTACAACCTATCCTGAAAGATGATCCTTTACTCTCACAGATCTTAGG